TTGGTTCCACGGGCCAGTGTGCATTAAATTTTAATTTTTTAATGCAGATTTTAATGCAGCCCGGCCGGTGCCCCTGGAACCAAGATTCAGGATTCAAGACTCTTGGGAATCTTGGTTCTTGGTTCTTGGTTCCACGGGCCGGGCTGCATTAAAATTTAATTTTTTAATGCAGATTTTAATGCAGCCCGGCCAGTGCCCGTGGAACCAAGATTCAGGATTCAAGACTCCTGGGAATCTTGGTTCTTGGTTCTTGGTTCCACGGGCCGGGCTGCATTAAAATTTATTTTTTTAATGCGGGTTTTAATGCAGCCAGGCCTCTGGTATAGTCATGTTCGTATACACGACTCTTCGTATACCCTATTCCATGTTGCATGTGTGTGCGTGTGTGTGTGTGTGTGTGTATGTGTGTGCATGGGTAATGAAGTGTGGTATCATATGTAGACAGACGGGTTTGGAGGTAGGTCCTGGGGGGGGGGGTACCATATATATATATATATATATATATATACTATATATATACTATATATATACTATATATATATATATACTATATATATATATACTATATATACTATATTTACTATATATACTATATATATATATATATATATATACATACTATATATACTATATATACTATATTCACTATGTATACTATATATATATATATACTATATATACTAGTCCCCTAAATCATAAGGCCAGGCCAGCCCTTTCCGGCCTGGAGTTTGCGGTGTAGGACCTAGGGTATCCCTTTACTCGGGGTTCCGTAAGGGCTTTGGGAGGGTGCCATGTTCCAAGAGCTCAGCATAGTGTTCCATTCTTAATGAGGACGCAAAGGGCAGAAGGATATTGCTGGCGCCCAAGTCACTGGAAGGTAGTGAGCACGATGGAGCACCTGCCTCTCTTCCTTTGCAGGCACATTGTCGTTCATAGCCCGATGGCGCCGGCTGTGCGCCAATGATAGCAAAAGCAAAGGCAAGGCGACTCCCAAACCGAGCACTACCACAAAGAGGCTATTGTCCTGATATCTGCCAATCTCTTGTCCCTCGTCGGCTGTCGTCATGTGCTGCAACTTGAAAGCTAAGTGGGCGGCTCGGTACAGGAACATACTTCCTGCGCATGTGCAAGAGCCGGTGACAACAAGATTCCAGCGTGCAACCTTCCACCATGCAGCAACCGCGGAACCCACTCCAGCTGTGTTGGAATCGAAGGTCCCTGCGACTGCTGCAAGGTGCATACACACGACTTGAAACATGGCGGAGGCGATGCACACGTAGCCACGGGTCACTTGCCTCTTGAACTCGTCATACTCACCGTCCCAATTTAGCAGCCGGGCATTGGCTGCTTTCTCATCATCGAACAGCTGCAACATGGGAATGACGACTGCCAACAGCAGACTGTTGAACAGGATCAGCATGGCCATGACACTGTTGATTTTGCCTGAAGATGGCACTTGAACGAAAAGAACGTCATAGAAAATGTTCATGACAGGGCAGTTGTGCAGAAGGCTTGTTTTCCAACTCTTGGGAGCAGATCGAAACTGACGATTGCTCGTCGAGGTAATGCGTCCCACTGTATGTATAGCAGTCTGCTTGGCCAAAGTTGCCAGGGAGACCACGGCCAGAGGGACAACAAAGCCCATGCCCAGCAACCCGTAAAAACTCCAGTTGCCCATGAAGCGGCTTAACAGGTCGGCCTCTGCTTGCCCTTGAGCATGTTGTAGGACAAATGCATACTGGATAGCCAGACTAAGACATGCACTGCCTATGAGGGTTCCCAAGATCAGGAACAAGAAGCTCCAGCGAGTGTACCGCCACCAAGAGATGTAAGCTCGGCTAACTCCAGCTGCACCCTCGAAGTCAGTTGCTCGAGTGAACAGATACGTTAGACTCGTGCTCACCGATGCAGCCGTGATGCAAAACATTGCAGACAGGCTAAAGAACCGGTATCGATCGTAGCTGCCATTCCAATTCCGAGCCCTCGCTACAGCAGAGTCCGTTGGCGAGAACAGCACGACCGTTGGAATACAAACACTCAACAGCAATCCATTCAGTGTCGAAAACGTCTCCAAAATCTGATCAATCTGCTGCATGCTAGGAGGAACGGCGTTTGCATCGTACAGAACATTCACAACCGGGATGTAGTAGACCCATGGGACGGCGCCTTTAGCGTCGGCGTCCATAGCTCCTGCTTGAAAAAGTCTATATAAGACTGTGTAAAGCTGCTACATGCACAAGGATGACTGCAGAGCCCAGTGAAGTTGTCAATGCCTTGACGAGGCTTCCCAGGGCAAACCCCCCAAACCCTGAACCCAAAACTCCCAAGGCCATGCGCCTTGTGAGCTACAAAGAACCGAGCCGATAAAGCAGGTCAAGATTCAGCTGTCGGAGGTTCCATAAAAACTCGGGGTACTTGCTGGGGGGCTTCCTTACGGTACTGGGGCTCTTCTATTCAGCATCCTCGTGTTTTGTGTTTTGGGTACAACAAAGCTTCTGACATGTCAATTGGGCCTGGCCTGGAAGCTCTGAACTGTAGAGGTCTTAATAACGGTCGATGATATGAATCCTGCATTACCTTACTGAACCTAGACTATGGGAATTATGGTACACCTCATTATGGGTATTGGAGGATGCATGTCATCAACCGTAGCATAGGGTTTGAAGCAGATTATGATATGCCCATTATACTCAGAGACCCTAATGAATGGTGTTAGTTCTTGCTCAGGCCCCAACATTACCCACAACGCGCTTGGTTTTTCTGGCTTTGGGTTTCGGGTTTTGGGTTTAGGGTTTTGGGGTTTAGGGCTTTGGGCTTGAGATTTATGTAGGCAGCCAAGGACAGTCTCTCAAGACCCTTCCTCGCCCTGGGACTTCTGGTGGGTGGCCGAAATTTTAGGGTTCAAGGGTTAAGGGTTTGAGGCTAATGGTTTAAGGGTTACGGGTTCAGGGTTTGGCGACTTAGTGCCTTAATTAACTGATGTGCATCCCCTTCTCCGATCAGAAATACAGTGGCCTTGGCACCATCCACTCCGCCTAAACTCTCAGGACTCAACCCTAAACCCTGAAGGCCCTAAGCCTGAACCCTTCAATTGCAAATGGAGGTGCTGGTCTCAAACATTCCCGGTCTCTTGCTTTTCGCATATGTATGGGATGCTGGTTCGGGTTCGGGCGATGTTGCCTAAGAAAGGGGCAGACCACGGCACCTATTTAATTATGAACTTTACAGGGCTCTATCCCTGCGAGGTGATAGACCCAAACCCTAAACCCCAAACTGATAGACTTCAGTAGTTTCTGCCCTTCGGCGTTTGGCCAACTTTTTTTGTCTTGAGCCTGGATGCCCTAACTAACCCCGAAAGCGCGTTAAGCCCTAGGCCCTAAACCCTAGGCTGTAAAATGCTGTAAAGCAGATGGCGCCGAGGCAGAGACTACGATCGCCGAGCGTGAGGGTTTGGGCCTCGAGTCTCATGGGGTTTAGGGATTTGAGCGCTTGCAGTTTATGGTTCAGCGTTTAGAGCCTTGGATTTGCAGGAGTTGATGTAGAGACTTTAAGTTCAAGACTTCTTCAGGATGTGCTTTGAGGGCCTTCGGGTCGAAAGGTAGTCGAAGCGAATGCCGGGTTTTGCGGGGTTTGGGGATGAGTTCGGCGTTTCGGACGATTCCGGATTTTCGATAGTTCGACATCTGCGGAGAAGCCGAGACAGGGCTGCCCTGGTCTACCACCAGGGCCACCACCAGCATCGGGTCGGCCCAGAAAATCTACACTTATCTCTGTAACAGACCCTGCGGTAAGATGCGAGAAAAGGGTGATCTGTGTCGAGCCGTCATGTGCACACCCACATGTTGCACCCAGAGAATCCAATACCGCTTGGCTAAGCCGTGAGTCCACGGCATCTACAAGACTCGAGGTCACGACAACTCCACCGCCCGGAACCCCACTTTTGTCGGACCTGGAGCGCGGTGTTCAGCTGCGGGAGCCTCGGGAACACACAAAGCCATCTGCATTGCGACAGTTTGCTCTGTCAAACTACTGCCTGCGGTGCAAGAGCAGACTATTTTCGCATCGTCTTCAGGAAGCACACCCGGAAAGGAGTGCGTCCCAAAAGTTACCGAAAGTGCGCAACAACGGACTGTAGAACAAGCTCTTCGAGCTACTTTGCCGTTCAGAAAACGTCGACCGATTGATCGAACTCCTTTGCATATTGTTGCCAGCATCACTACATCGCCTTACATGAAGGCTGCTGTGATGAAAGCGAGAAATACAGCGACGGCTGAGCCTGCTTGAGGCACAACATAGCTTGTCTCAGTCTCGTTCACGCTGTTGGGCGCAGAGGTTGTCGCGGTGTTGTCGACGGTGCTCGTCGTGCTGTTTGCGGGATTGTTGGCGGTATCGGCAGTGGTGCTACCAGTCGTTGTGCCATTTGTGTCGGCAGCGTTGGTAGTGGTGGCATCAGTAGTGTTGGTGATGGCATCGGTAGTGGTGGTAGTCGTGGTGGTGGTCGTAGCGGTGGTTGTGGTCGTGGTGGTGGTGGTCGTAGAGCTGGTCGTCGTGGTGGTCGTGGTGGTGGTCGTCGTGGTGGGCGCCAATGCACCTTTGATGCACGAAATTGCAGTCTTACGACCTTATAGTCGTCAAAACTGTGAGTAACCACATCCTGTGCCAAATCAAGGAATAGTGGCCTCTCGGTTAGGAGTTCACTCATTTTGTTGATCAAAAACGAAACACTGTACAATAAATCCTGTTTTAAGCCAAGAGAAAAGCTGTGCCCTTGGAAATGCAGCTCTGGTCGTCCTGCTAGGCCGTCCAGAGATGTCGATGCCATGCTACACAGTAGCACACCCTAATATACAGTACTTGTAGCAAGCTGTAAGATAAGAAGCATAGAGCTGCATACTAGAACACATACAATTAATAAACTGAGTAGCACCATAGTGGCACTGGGAGGTAGACAGACGCCCATTTACTGTTGCCACCGCTGTTGGAATGAACTATGCTCAGCATCATCTTGCGATGCGCTTTTTCACAAGTGCCGCCCCGGTGCCCAAGGCCACTAAGACCACACCATCGGCGTCAGATGCAGTGGCCCACGCATAGCCCCCAAAGATGTTCACCCCGTTGAGCCCGGTAAAGCGGCCATAGTCTCTGATGACTTCAATGACGGTGAGGTTATTCAGGTCTGAGATGTCAACCACAGCAAGACCAGCTTCGTCGTCATAGAGAGTGTTGACGTCGGTAAGGCCCACGATAGCATAGTTCCCAGTGATTGCAACTTTGGTCGCTCCAAACAGCCGAGGGTCTGAGATGAAGCTCGCGATGCTCAGGTTGCCTTCTGGGTTTGTAGGGTTTCGGGTTTAGGGTTTGGGGCTTGGGGTTTAGGGTTTAGGGCCCCGAGGTTGCCTTCTGGATTTGTGATGTTGACCACAACCAAGCCCCGCGCGTTGTTGGTATTCACGGCCACGTAGGCGAAGTTCTCCGAGATGGCGACCGCCCCCGGCTGCGAGAGAAGGTTGTTGGGGTCTTCATCGTCAGGGACTGATCCGAGGATGGACAAATTGCCTGGGTTCTGTTTTCGGATTCTGAACTAAGCTCGATAACTAGGAAACAGCTTACTATATACCACGGACCCCTGTCCCGGTACCTTAGATGAAGCTCCTTAACAGAACCTAGTCGCCGACGGGGTCGCTGATGTTGACCACCGCCAGGCCGCGGGAGTTGGTCACGTAAGCATAATCTCCGGATATGGTTAGGCCACGCACGTCCCCCAAGAGTTCGGAGCGGACATCCAGTGGTATCTGGCCTACTATCTCCAAGTTTGTTGGGTCTGTGACGTTAATTGTAGTCAAACCCCTTGAAGAGCGCACGACAGCAAAGTTCCCGTGCAGGGCAACCTCAGACGCTAGTACAAGCTGGTAGTCATGGACAGAACTCACGATGACGGGGTGACTTGGATCTTCGATGTTGATCGCCGTCAAGCTAAAGTTCTGCGATGAGGTCACGAAAGCATAGTTCCCACCGATCGCCACGGAGGTAGCTTCCTCCAGCCGCACAGGGTCTTGGATCGCTCCTGCGATGGTCATGCTGCGCAGGTCCGTGATGTTGACCACTGCAAAGCTGTGGTGGGATTTACCAACCACAAAAGCAAAGTCTGCAGTCACGGCCACGTCCGAGACCCCATCAAGCGCGGAGAATGGAGAGTTGGAGTCCTCGAAACTAGGTTTTTGTTCAGGAATGAAAATTACCATGACAAGGAAACCCTTGTATTTACCAATGGTCCCAGTGATGGCACCTTGAAACAACCCTCATAGTTAGAAGCCCTCATCCTTCTCGTCGCCCTTCTGGTAACTCTTATAGTGCCCTTATACTGTCTTTTTTCTAATAGTAGCCTTCATAGCAACCCTTTCAGTAGCCCATATAGTAGCCCTTCCAGCAACTAAGTTCCTTAGTTAGTAGCCCTTCTCGCAGCTAAGTTCCTTAGGTCCGAGTCCTCGAAAGCTCCTGTCAAGGCAAGGTTGAGGGTGTCGGAAACATTCACCACCGCCAAGCCGTCGTTATGAACGGCGGCAACCTCGGCTCTTGTTAGCTTAGCTACAATAAGGGCTACTCTAAGGGATGCGGCAGGGGCTACTAAGGACAGGGCTACCATCATAAATCACAAGTAAGGGTAGTGTAAGCTCACGATCGGGGCGTGTAGCAAATAATGAGCTTTCTTGCTATGGTAACTTAAACTAAACTACCTGAACAAGAACCCAGCAACATAAGCGTAGTCTCCAGAGACTGCAACGCCATGTGCTCCGTTGAGTTGAACGGAATTTTGAATGGAGTCTGCGATGGAGAGGCTGCTTGGGTTGGAGATATTGACTGCCGTCAAGACTCCCTGGTAAACTCCGGGAGACGATGATACCAGATTATGCCCAACCACGAAAGCAATGTCCCCAACAATCTCAATGTCAAACGCTCCCTTGAAGTACATGGAGTTTTGGATGCTGCCCGTAATGGTCATGCTGCCAGGGTTGGAGATGTTGACGGCCGTCAGGCCATTCGCAACGACCACGTAAGCGATGTCCCCCAGGATTGCAACCGACCCGGCCCCGATGAGCGCACTGTCTTGGACGGAACCTGCAACAGCCAGATTGTTCGGATCTGAGATGTTGATCGCTTGAAAGGATCCGGGACTTCCGGAAGGAGATGTTCCTGTATCTGACGCAGCTCCCACCGCGACGTAGGCATAGCCCTGCCCCGTCGCAACACCATGTGCTCCGTTCGTGTAGTCGACGTCCATGGAGCCTGCGATGGTGATGTTGCTCACGTCCTCGATGTTGAGCACGACGAGTTTCCCTCGATTCGGCGGCGGTGAGAAGCCCCCAAAAGGATCAGGCACCCCGCCGAACATGTCTGTTGTTGTCCCCGACAGGTAGGCGTAGTTCCCATCGATTGCAAGGAAGGACACCGTGTTTGGGAATGTCTGTCCCCGAACTTCTATGAAGCCTGCGACCGTCAAGTTGCCCGGATCTGCTATGTTGACCACCGTCAAGCCTTGTTGAATTCCCCCACCAACTAGCACGTAAGCATAGTTGCCTACAATGACAATCTCCCGAGGGTATGTCAAGTACCTGTGGAAGAGTCCTCCAACTACGACAAGTCGGCTTGGGTCTGAAATGTCCATCACAGTCAACCCGCTCTCCGGGTGATAACCCCCCACATAAGCGAAGTTGCCGGAGATTGCGACGCTGTGGGCTCTTTCAAGAAAGCACTGGTCCTGCACGAAGCCGGCAATGCTTAGCGCACACACCTTGCCGCATGTGACCAGAAGAAGTGCAACGAGTGGTCTGGCCATATCTGCTTTGTGCTTTCGCACCGCTGAAAACTTCAAAATACCTCAAATGGCTGCATAGTACTGCAACAGCTGGTCAAGAACAAAGGCTTCAGAATTCTCTTAGGCTGCACCCGCGAGGCCTGCACGTACGACGTGTAGCTCCGGCTGGCGTAGAACTGTCTGACCTCAGGTGTTTAACTTGGTTTTCGGTTTTGCATTGTTGCCGAATGACCTCAACGGATGGCTTCCACTCTTAGCCAGCTTGCATCCCTCCACGCCCTCTGCCACGAACAACTCTTTCGCACGGGTGATACTGGCACGACATGGAACTCGAGACCGGGTCAACTCCGCATCCAAAATGCACTTAGACATCCTATAACAGTGGGCCAGTACGTGTCCCAGGCGCCCGGCAGGAACTAAAGAGTCGATCTCGTACTTTGGGACGCTACCCCTTATGGCATCTGCTTGGGAGCCCGCGACTGCGTGCAGAACAAACGGTTTCGGGTTTCGGCGGTAGTGCTTAAGGCTTTGTTGGCGTTTAGGGTTTAGCCCTGCGCACGACCTGCCAACTCTATGCCCAAAGCCCAGGAACTGCCGTGGAGCCTTCAAGTCTGGCCTGCTAGGCTCGCCAGCAGCCCCTTAAATCTAAGGGCACCCGTTTTCCTACAATTCGGAACCCCAAAGTAAAAAGGGCAACAGGGTTTTACTAGGAGAACTAGCCTGTGCCAGCGGCGGTGTGTTTTCGAAGCAGCGGCCCCCATGTCACGTCTGCCCCGTCCCTGTCACTGCAGCCTCCCCTCCCCTGGTGAAGTCGGCAGAGCAACGAATATCAGCAACCGCTCGAAGTCATCTGCATGTGTAGCATTCTGGTTTGTTTAACTTAATCTACGACTGGTTCATGAGGCTCCTAAGCGGGTCACAACTACCGACTCCACCCTGCCTTGGAGGTATCATAGTGACACAGAGGTATGCAGGCTCGCGAGATGACAAAAAACAGGTGCCTAGGCCACTGACTTCTTTGGGCACTATGATTTTGGCTTTACCTTACTTATAGGTTAAGGGCAAGCATCCCATGCTTCTTGCTTGGGGCTGGCAGCCTGCACCACCAAAAAAAACACACACAGAATGCTGAGTCAGTACTTGCAGACACATGGAGGATGCCACAGACGCCTGGGGAAACGCAGCAATCTGTACCCAAATCCACTGCACCTCGAGCCCCTGTCCGAAACCCCAACCTCAAAACCCACCCAAAAAGCTGCAAGCTCTTATACTTACTGTTGGTTATTAGGGAATGGAGGAATGGGGTGCAATTGTAACTACCATTACTACCATTCTTCCATTCCTTACTAACCAAAGGTACGCTTACAGCACCCTCACGCAATCCTTCTCAGCCCCTTCTAGGAAGTCGAAACCTTCGGGCTCCCAGAGGCGCATCAAAGCTTCAGAATCCCGGCTCCCAGAGAAAAAGCCACAGCTTTCCGGTAAGGCTTCTGTGGGATGGGGGGGTTAAGGTTCCGGTCTGGCATCTTCGGGCTTACCCAGAGCCTGCAAACCCCCTTGATCAAGGAAGAGACCTTTGCATCATGCTCGGATCCCTGGTGTGATCGCGGGTGTATTCCTGTGAACTACGGGATCTTGGAGTCTCTGGGTAGGACAAAAAAAGGTCCAGTGTTCCCGCCTGTGCCTGGGAAAGCGATCAAGGTCGGCCCCTTCAGACCTCGGGTTTAGGTTTCACTCGAGTTCAGGGCGGGGGATTTGGGAGTTTCCGAAAGTAGGGGACCCTAATATAGAACCTTAAATAGGAAGATCCTGAATATAAGAACCCCCAAAATAAGGTACCCTTGTTTTCGGAAACTCCCATTTAGGGGGCTTTAGGGGGTTTGGGGTTCATGGCCTCTTCGCGTGTAAGGTGTCGGATTTAGGAGGGTTTAGGGCTTGGGGCCTAGGCTTGTGTTTAGAGATAGAGGGACTTCGGATTTGTGGGCTTAGGGGTTTGCCGGATCGAGAAGTCGCGCCGTCATGCCAGAAAGGTTCCAAGGGGGGGTGCTACAGCTCGTCATAAGGGTTCTATCAGCTTTTTGGTGCTTCTGTGGGGTGTTTAAGGGTTGTATAAGAGCTCGTAAGGTTCTATAGGATTTGTTCCGCATCCTTGGAGTGGTCCGTGACGACTGGCGAAGTTCGGAGTCTGCTGCTACAGTAGTCGCTTTGCGAACTGGCGTAGGGGCCGCAGTACCCAGCAGAGGGGTTGGATGAAAATAAAGCAAAAAAATGTCTCAATGAACCCAACTAATCCTGCTTGTGATTACTCAGGCCTCAACGCTAATTTCGAGGACTCCCCATCTAGGGACTCATGATAGGGTTTTGGGTTTACGGTTTGGGTGCGGGGGTAAGCGATGCCAATTCAAGATCTTGCTGGATCTGAGGACCTGGCCGGCCAGCCCACGCCGGGCAGCGTTTCTGCCTGGCATCTCTGAAACTTCTTTCAAGGCCAGCTGCAACTAGGAACGTGGACGGAAGGCGATACCTGTGACTGGGCAACAGGTGACATAACTTGCATCAATAGGGGACGGCACCCGTTTCGACAAGCACGAAGCATAGCACAGAATTGTCTTCAGCATCACCCAAACTCCAGATGCAGGCCTCTTTTCAGTAGCACTGTACATGACATTTATGATAACAGCAATGGAGTGACTAGTAAAGAGAAGAATAACAACAAGCATCATAGTCCACAGCAGCACACCTCGTCCATGAAGTCGGAGCGCCTCTTGCGCCGCTCCGGGGCGTTGGGAACCAGCTTGGTCTGAGTCGAGGATAGTATGGAGCCCTCAGACTTTAGGGGCTTAGCGTTCAGGGGAGTAGGATTTAGGATTTAGGGGCTTTGGCGCGTAACATCGTATCGTCGTATAGCTGTGGTCAGGAACCTCAAGGAATCATGCTAGGAAGCATTCAGACCAAAGAACCAAGTTGCTTAAGGGGGAGGGTCTTGGGTTTAGGGGTTTAGGGCCGGGGTTTGGGGCACCCGCACAACCATGATTCCTGAACCCCTAAACAGCTACACCACTAAACCTAAACGAAATACTACCTCTTGAACCCTCAACCCAAAAACCTTACACACCTTAAGCTGCCCGGGATATGTTGCCAGAGACTGAGGGCCCGGGCCGTGGGGCGATCTGGGGTCACCGGTGCCTGCGTTCAGAGCATGAGCAACAGCAGTCACAAAGAACTACCGGAATCAAAGAAAACCCTCAGGAAAACTCCAAAGCAAGAGCTTGGTGGAGCTGAGGGCTTGGCAGGCCAGCCCACGCCGGGCAGCAGAAATTCTTGTGCCACCTGCAAGCGACAACATGCACGGAATCTGACGCCTGTGAAACCGCTAGCATGCATACTGCATTGCCTGAATTTCACAGTCCGGAAAGACCGCACCTGTTCCTACGAGCAAAGTGAACGACACTGACCAATCTCTGACCTTTCTCGCCATCAATCCCAGTTGTTAATACTGATATCGGTGTCCATACCGATAACTTCAAAAAAGACTAAGAATAATCACATTATATAACATTGTCAACCTGGCAACCCGAACACCATCCAAAAAGCAAAGCTCGCAAGCAGTGACACGATCGTTATTTCCAAGTGTATAGCGTACTCCGAGGTGCACAAACCGAGAGGTGTACCAAGATGGCGCACAAATCGAGAAGTGTACCAAGGTTATGCCACTGCGGATGGTTGCTCAAGTCATGAGTGGAAGAGAAGTTTGAGTAAGAGCATGCGTGTGGGCGTGGGTTCAGGTGCGAAGGCGAGGTTCAGGTTTGGAGGCGAGGTTAGTCCCAGGCAGGCTTTATGGCTTCTCCTGTACCTAGCCACAAAAGTAGGGTTAGTGGGTCTGCAGTCTCCGGGCAAGCATTGACCCCACAATCACAGAACCCCGACCCGGCTCCCGCGCCGCGCCGCGTATCGCGCTCCGCTTGGTGGAACTCCGCCCCACCCCTCCACGCCTCGCGACCCGCCGCGCTGGACGCCGAGGACTCTAGACGCTTGTGCGCCGCACGTCGTATCGCGGCTTACGCGGCTTGAAAACCTGAAGAGAACAGAATCTCCGAGTGGTTTTCGGAAACAATGACTATCAAAAACAAAAGTGATAATACCTGTAATAGTAATAATTGAACCACGAAATAATACTTGCGATCAACTCTGCTTAAAATACGTATATATGACAGCGATCAGTTGCGACCGCAGTACTCAGTAGTATCACATGTCACAGCAGCGAGCCTCGTCCATGAAGTCTGAGCGCCTCTTGCGCCGCTCCGGGGCATTGGGAACCAGCTTGGTCTCAGCCGAGGCGAGCCGACGAAGCTTCCCGGTCGATCCGAGACTGTCACAACGAACCCAAGGGGGTTTAGGCAAGTTCAGGGTTTTAGGGTTTAGGGTTCAGGGTTCTAGGCTCTTAGGGTTCAGGGTTCAGGGTTTTAGGTTTAGGATTTTAGGGTTTAGGGTTTACAGGGTTTAAGATTTTAGGGTTTAGGGTTTTAAGGTTTAGGGTTTAGGAGTTTAGGATTTGGGGGTTCTGGGTCTTGGGTGGCTTTTGACGGATCTAGGAAGCCCCGGACTCATCAGGAATCTCGCAGGTCTGACTGCAAGGTGCCACTATCCGCCGTCTAGGCATCCAGCACCCCAATCGCGAACCTTAAGTTGTTGTGTCTTGACGGACGTAGGTAGCGACACTCATTCAGAAAACTCCCAAGTCCCGAAACTGAACGGAAATCTGAAAACCCTTGCTTACTCGCCTGCACCCTAACTCCCTAAACCTTCAGTGCGGGTTCCCGGCGACAAAAATTGACTGCCCGCCTGCCTACCGGGACTCCGACCCTGTCCAATCCGACTTTGACGCGATTGGGCATTCCGACTGTAGGGGTCTCGTTCCTGCCGGAAGAACGTGCTCACCTGTCTTCGAGACCCTCGCCACCCACAGAAAGACGAGGGAAGCTAGCGTTGGGTGATGAACTGGACTATCTAAAAAAGGCGAT